AACATGCTTAAATTGCAATGTAAATGAAGTTCAAGTGAATACCATCACAAATGTTAAAATAAAATAAATCTTCAAACCATTTTAATCCTACACATTATTAATTCTCATCACAAGGAGAAATAGTAAGAAAAAACTACTCGCTAAGCATGAACAAAAAACATGGATTCTTCATTGCAAATGACATTGAAAAACACACAACTTTATTGTAGTAATTCAAAACAAATACAAAAGAGAACTAGACCTATTTTTATAGAAGATTCATGCCCTCTTTGCAAAGCAAATAACAAACCTTGCACTTCTTCCAACATTCTAAAAGGCACCAATGCTCCACAAGAGACTTCTCTTCTCACACACACATACACGCACACACGCCACCTTGAAGAAGAACACCAAAATCCTTTATAAATCTCTCCTAAGCACCCCTCCTAGACTCTTCATGAGAGGCACCAAGCCCCTCTTTTTAAAGAGACGCAAAACATCTCATTTTCCTAAGAGGATCATCTCTTCACTCTAAGAGACACACCTCTTTAATTCAAGCGACGCACCACTTCATTCAAAAGCTTTTCCAAGTATCTAGATTCATTAAACCACTCCATGGGGAGTGCAAGTTGTTCAAAATCTTCCAAAAAATCCCAAAATTGCCCAAAATCATAAAAAATTTGACCTTAACCGTTTATGGCACCTAGGCGTCAGTTTCAGGGGCCCAGGTGCCACCTTGCAGGCAACATCACCATTTTGCCCCGTTTCGCTCTGTTTCAGGTCTGTTTCACCCGTTTCAGTTTCATTTCATTCAAAATTTGTTATACCTACAAAATAATCATGAAAAAAACTTTTATTTAAAGTGCAATTTCATTCAAAAATATGTGATAAATGTAAAAAAGACTAAGCCAAGAAAGACATCAAAGTGTGTCAGGCCTGAATTTTCTTCCTTGCTCATTTTGGCTCCAAATTTCATCTTTTTTTATTTCCTCCAAAATCCATTTCTTGTACCTAAAACCAAAAATATGCAAAATATCTTCCTTTGAAGTGAAATGTTAAAAATAAGCCCTATATATATATATATATATATATATAAATAGGTAATTCTTAGGCGTGTCTATCGACACACTAACAAATAGATCATCCAAATTACATCCCTGCTTTTGTTTGAGAAGACATCTGCCTAATTCTCGCTTCAACATCACCAAGTACCTGCTGTGAGGGTAGATTTAATGTGTAAATTTTACAAATATTTTCAATATTACAAAATTACACATGACAGATATATAATAAATAACACATGACAGATATATTACACATGACAGATATATAATAAATATGTAATATAATCCCAAAAAAGTTACCTTTTATAAAAATAGTTTATCTTTTAAAACTTGTTTTAAACTGACAAATCCCCGTTAAAATCAACGCAATTATATGTATCACTCAAGTAATAAAAAACTCTAATGGAGTCCTAGATATCGATCTCACAGGGAAGTTGGAAAATCCTTGAATAAGTTTTTGAAATTATTTTATAATTTAAAAATTCAGAAATTAAAGTAAAGTGTAAAGTTTGAATATTACCTACTAAGGTAAATGCTATGTAAAGTACAATTGAAAATTAAAGTTAACTAACTAAGAAATAACTTTCAAAAGTAAAATTATGAAAACTAAACAAAGTTTTTGTTTAGACATAAAGTTAAAATTTAAGAAAACATCATTCCCCTTTACAATGAGTATATGGATTGTGAAAAAACTGAAATCATTTGAAAAAAATATATAAAAACTGTTTTTTGTCAAATAGAAGCAATCTTATTCTTTATCCTCTTCTGAATGTTATAAAGAACATTGACAAATCCAGAGTTTGGTCCCTAATTTCGTGGTTAGGCTAGGAGGATACTGGTTGTCCTTGGAGAGCTCCTACTGCTCTCTCACCTAAGGGCTAGCAATCTCGCATTAGTTTCCAATCAAATGGAACAAATTGGGGATTTTAATCTGTCACCTTAAAATCTCCAATTCTGCTTCTAACAAAGTATATCTCCCTATTTATTTGCACCCAATCCATTGATGACATACTCTCCTATGAAATCAAATGTGATTCTCCCTATGTTGTAGAAATCATATCTCCTTCAGAACATATGTCTCTCAACAAGTTTTACCATTTCAATTTGCTAGATAAAAAAGTAAATGAAGATCAAAGTTCAAATCATCATAAATTTTTAACATTTAAAATCATAGAAAATAAAATATATTCTTCACAAAACTATATCTCAAAGTAGGGAGAAGGATAAAGAAGACTACTCAAAATTCATGAGAAGAATGTGAAAAAACACGGATTTCATATATAAAAATAAGTTTATAAAATAAAAGAAATAAAAGATACAACTTATCTCACAATCCTTCCAAAGAAAATACCTAGAAGTTCTCTCCAAGTCTTTCTCTCTTTACAATCCCACTCAATTCTCTCTTAGAAGTGTAATGAAAAAGAAATCTCTCACATTCCCTCTCCTCTTACAACCGTAGAACAACATCTCCTCTTTTCTCCTCTTGCCTCTCACGCCAACTTTTTCTCTCTCCTTTTCATCTATCTCTCTCTCTCTCTCGCCAACTCTATGAAGTCTTCTCTTTATTTTGGGCTACCTCCTTTGAAAAGAATTCAAAATTTTCCTCTAAAAGTCAACTCTTTTGAATTCAAAAGATGTGTCATTTGATCTAAGAGACATATCCCTTCATTAAAGAACCTTTTAAAGTGTTTGAATGCATTAAATTACTCTAATAAGTGTGTAGAGCAAGTGTCCCTTTTAAAATTTGAACAAAATTCATCTCGAACTGTCTTAATTTACAAAAAAGTCAGCTCGGGCGCATCATGCGACGATCTGGCGCATCATGCGCTAGTTCTCTGTCAAACGGTGCATCATGCATCGATCTGGCACATCATGTGCCAGAATCCCAAAATTCACTGTTTTGGTTCTAAATTTCGTCATTTTTATCATTTTTGCTCCAAATGCCTAAAAATGATATACCTGCAAAAAAATATAAAAATATCATTCTTTAAAGTGCAATATTACCAAAAATAAGCATAAAATAAGTACATAAAATAGTATATTATTTTGGTGTATCAGTTGATGTACCTCATAAAATTTTATGAGGTTCTTCCTTAAGAGGCCATCGGTTCTCACCTTGATACATGCTACAAACACCTTAATAAAACTTTCTTTTAAAAGGCGAGCTACTTGTAGAATTACGGTGATTCAACCTTTGTTGATAACCTAGTCTTTTTTTAGGGACAAGAGCTCCTCGTCTAAGAGTCGATACAGATCAACAAGCAGACCACAATGGTCGACCAATTCACTCTGATTGAGCCAAGTTTCAACAATTAAAAATCCATCATTGCCAATGGCAGCCCCAAATCATCATCGTTGACAAAATAACCCTTATGGAACCCAGGTTGCAAATCTTTGTCAACCAAGTGATTAGCCAGTTGAGCCATATCCTCAATTCTTTAAATACAAAAAATACTCTATAATGCCCCCATTAAAGCAAGGATAACTATGTAATTAGTCATCTAAAATGGGGGGTCCTTTCTATAGTAAAAGCTAATAAAATCAAAAGAAATTCCCTCATTCCACAATTCTTTATTATGCTACCCCTCTCTCTCTCTCTCTCTCTCTCTCTCTCTCTCTGTTATTCTACTCTATATTCCATGGATGTGATTCACAGAACAAATTCAGATTTAATGCATACAAATAAGACGAAGTTTTTAGCCACATCTATAATTTTTTTTTGTATTTTGTTGTTAATTTAACTACAATGGTGTAACAAAGACAAATAGTTGTCTGAAGCAATTTATGAGCCTGCAACTCATGGGTCTTTACATTAAAAGAATAAAAATAACTTCAAAATAAATATTTATTTATTGAACTTAATTTTTTTATGCTTTATGAAATTAATATTCATATAACTAATAATACTCATCTGCTTGTTTTAGTATTTTAATGAAGCTAAACAACAATCACGCCTTAATAGGCATGCACCCATTTGTTTGCAAACCTTGCAAGGGGGAATTGAGCAATATTATATATTTAAAATGAAAAATGGCAGAATTGCCTCCCTTTTATTAATAAAATTCTAAATTCCACGATAGGTACTTGCCCACCCTCAACAATATGTGAGTCTGCCAAATCTACGAACTCTTGGGATAGGCTGCAATCTCAGGTTACCAATGATAACGTCCGGGATTTCAAGAGTTAAGCTTTACTAGTCAACTCACTCTTCTCTTCTCCTCCCATTTGAGGTAAAGAATGCGAGTTTATTTATAGTTTCTAAGAATGTTATTTTGATAAAATTGGCCAATTTCCCCAAACACCCCATCATATGGTGTAGACTGATTTTCTTGACCATAGAAAGTTCTTTTTATATTTAAGTGTCATAATGACATCAAAATTGAATGATGTTGGACTTGTCGAATTCTTCTCGTCGAGATGCTCAATGTGAGTATAAGCATACCAAATATTGAGATCATTTGGTCATCTAATTGATGGAGTAAAGCCTTTAATAACACTTCAAGTATTTGATCTAGGCATATCTGATTAGAGTTGGATCACTCTTGATGTCATTAGGATTGTCTTCTTAAGATGCTCAGTTAACCTTAAACATGTCGAAATCGAGGCTCAAACGATCATGAATTTAGTTTTGGAATGTTTCTTGCACGAAATGCTTCAATATTCATGACAAATAAAATTTATTGATGACGCATCATACCGAATGTATAACTACAAGATCTAAATTTTACATGACATATTAATTCGAAATTGTATTAAAAATATATTGACTTTGTAGGGGCATCAATCATTTTTCTTTTACCATGGACTAGTTACACAAATACGGGGCAAAAAACTAAATTTATATGTACTCCATAAATTTAATCAAATAATACATATTTTAATTATTTATTTTACATCTTTTAACTTCAAAAAATATACACAATAAGCATCTAAGAAAAATATTGTGTCATACAGCTTTCACCTCCTCCTATTCCTGCCTCGGAGCAAAAGCACCAGGTAGAACAAAACCCTAAACAAAAACCCCCAGGCAATAGTGACGGCGAGGCACGACCACTTGCCGAGCTGAGTAACTGCGTTCTGATTCAGTATATCCACCCCAGTCATAAGGCACGTCTCTGGCGAGATGCTCACCCCCAGCGCCCTGCCAGTCGCCATTAACACCGTCTCTTTCATCTTCACCGGCATATTTCCCAGCACAGTGGCATCGAATATCTGCAATCCTGTCACGAAGCACTTCCCATTATCCCCAAACTCACTATGTAGAACCCCTTCATATGAATACTTCACCAGAGAAAGGTAGTGAAACCAGATCCAGTAGTCCGGTATTCTGTTTCGGTTGATGAAGAAGCCGCTGAAGAGGACAAAGTAACCAAGCATGGCGACAACAGCGAAGTATCCAAGCATGACCTGGGAAACGATAGCGGAGAGAAAGGAGACGAAGCCGCTTCCCGCCCAGAAAGAGGCTAGGATGATTAAAAAGTAGAAGAGAAAGCCCGAGGAGCCGTGGGCAAGTCCAACTCCAAAGAAGGTGGAAGAAGCGAAGGTGAGGGACAGAAGGACGAAAGAGGGGAGGGCGACGAGAGAGTTGGAGAGGACGTAGGAGGAGCGGCGATAGGAATTATAGGCAGTCTCACGGAGGAATATGTAGAGCTCTTGAAGGAAGACGGAGAGAGAATCGCTGCAGCTATAGTATATGGTGGACATGGCAAGAGCGAGAAAACCGAACTTGGAGACGAGTCAAGCCGGAAGAAGAAGGTGGCAAAGATGCCGCCGGTCACAAGAACCAAGCCGAGGCGCATGAAGAAGATCCCAGGCATGCGCCAGGTGTTGATGAAGGAACGTCGAGTCAGGATGGAGAGTTCAACGTAGAAGGGGTTGACGAACTGCGGCAACTTTGCGGTTGAGGATGATGAAGCTGTTGTTTGTTTGAATGGCATAAATGTGCGTCAGTATTTATATTATATAATGCTGATACCTGCAGCTAAAATTGTGATACCACTGATACGACTGTCAAATTCACTAGAAAAGTCAAACTGAAGATCAATACAGCAAGTGATTCAAAGGATTTTGAGATAATTTATTTATCTAGTTAAGTGTGTTGTGCTTAAATAATTTTTTTTAAAATATATATAAAGGAATTTTTTTTGTGCTTTTCTTATGTTAATTAAAGGTTCAACATTGCGGTTTTGAATAAGTTTAAGAGAAATTTAGATACATAACATCGACTTTTTATGCATTCACCTACTCAAACTTTCATACAAACACAACACCCATTTTTCATTTATCACAATTTTCAACAGTAAAATTCATATTTTTATTTATAGGTGGCATGTTAGGTCTCCAAAAATCAAAATATTTATCTGAGATACCTAAATACATAAGATTTGGATACTACCTACACAAATTTCGGAAAATTTAAATGACATTTATATTTCAAATCTTGGTTTGTTTTAAAAAATACGACTCTTTATTAGGTGAGTTAAAGTCTGTCTTGATTAGTCATTTATTGACACAAATAATGCGAATAAGACTTTTCGTTACATCAACAATATCTACATTTTCTTCATAAAAAAAAACAGAAACTTACGTTTTGTCTTATTATTTTGTATGATTTGCCTGTAAATTAACCCATAGCAGTTCTTGCCAAGCAAGCACTAAACATGTTAATAATTAATACAAGAAAAATAGAGTTGATATATATTTATTAAATAGCATATTAATTAAGAGAGAGAGAGAAGAAGAAAGCAGTGTGCAATACAAACACAGGAAATATAGCGCGTGCAGCTCCTGATGATATTAAAATCAAGTTAGGAAATCATAAAGCTCTTCGATCTGCACGTTTGCATTGTCATTAATCATGTTATAAATAATACTTAAAAATAAATTTGACAAAGTAAACCTATACTTTCAGGCAATACGTTTGATTTATGGCAAATTCAGCATGTAAAGAGGTTGTTGGCCACCTAAAGAAATTTCATATACATACATAAATACATACTTACATATACATATCATACATACTTATATAGATTCATACATTCATGCTTACATATAAACATACATACATACATGGTTATAAATACGTATACGTACATACATATGGTATGCTGCAACAATCATGAGTAATGATCTTAATTTTTTAAATAGTTTATATGAAAAATGGTGACACTCATGTGATATGCGGCAACCATCAGTAGTAATGATCATAATTCTCTAAATGGTGTTATTTAAAATATTAATCTAAACACATTTTAATTAAATACATGTAGGGTTGTAAATGATCCAATTTCCAGCCGAGCTGTGCCGGCTAAAAATTGACTTGAAAAAAAATTGATATGAAATTTTGAATCATAGCTCGGCTCGTTTATTTCAATCCGATCTCAAACCGAGCAATGATTTGAGTCAATTTTCGAGCGATTAATAATGTTCAAGATGAATTAGCTAAATTTACAACTGTAACATCACTAGGGCTATTAAAAATTCAATTTTGAGTTGACTCGGGGTTATCTCAAAATCGGCTCAAAAAAATTCGATATAAAATTTTGGCTCATAGGTCGACTCATTTTTTCAATCAAACCTCAAACCGAGCAAAAATTTGATATAATTTTTGATCGATTAGCAATCTTCGAGCTAAATTCACAGCCCTAAATACATGCATGTAAAAGTAATTCTCAGTCATTTTCTTAATCTTTAGTTATCTCTATTAAAAATATGATTTTTAATAAAAGTTAAATTGTTTATGCCTAGGTTGCACTTATTTGAAGCAGTGTCGTTTCCATATTTTAATCTGAAAGAATATCTTTCAACTTTTTTGAAACAAAATCTTTAAATTAAACGTTGGGTTGTTTACATGCATAGCACCTACAACATTATAAATCTAGGACTCTCTTTGATTCAATTTTCAAATTTTCACTCAAATAGCAAATTTCATTATAAATTTCAACCCAGATTTTTTCATTTTTTAATCAAATTCTCAATTATTTGATCATCACAAGCATAAATACATCTGTTCAATTGTTCAAAAATATCACAGATGTTTGATTTGCAAATAACAATGTTTTTGTGTGCCATATATGTAACAATACCTAATAAATAAATGCTCTCCAAATTATTTATCAAAGTGGTAAGGTTATTAAAATTGATTTGAATTTTAAATGTTTGGGACCAAAGCTCAAGCTCAACCTCATGATAGCTCTACTACTCGGGCCTCTTCATGGAGAAAATATTTCAAGTGGTGTTTGTGCATTTGGAAAATGGCGTTAAATACACAATGTTACTGTACACAATGACAATGACGCGGTGTAATCCACGTCATCCTCCCAACGCATAGATGAAATATAAAAAAAAGTTATCTCTAATAGAATATTTGCTCAAAAAATTTTAAGGACCACTGTTTAAATAAAATATAGTATAGGATACCACTACTAAAGGATACATGAAAAATCAAATTTCAATTAATAATCTTATGAATAAAAATATCTATCATTTAAAGCATCTGATTAGTCATTTTCATAACAAATATTATTAAATTTTTTATCATGTAATAAATAATCACATTTCTTAAAACGTGTGATTAAAATATATATCAATGGTTGTCAAAGACGCAATAAAATAAGTTACATTTTAAATATAAAATGACAAAAATTTAATATTTAACAAATTAAATTTTATATTCACCAATGGTATTTATAAAAAAAATTATTATTATTATTTTAATAAAACAACTGTTTAATATAAGAAAATAATTCTTAGATTTGACGTCATAAAAAGGGTGGAAAAAAGAAGCGTACCCTCTAAGTTGGCGGCGGTGAAGAGTTTCCCGCGGGAGATACTGGCAGTAATGGCCGCCTGCAGAGTGAAAGTTGACGAAGGAAGTCGAGTCCAGCGAGATTCTAACAGTCCAGAAATGGAGCCCTGTGACCGCAAACGAAAGAACTGGACGAGCTTGTCGGCGCCGTCTGTTCCATCCTCGAGATCTCGAACAACATCGAGGACGAACTCCGCCTTATTCTCCCCAGGCTCCATCGGTCTCCCGAAATCGGTGAAAAAATCAAGCAAACTGTTCGGATTCCCAAAGAATACCGTCCTCCCCTGGGATAATATCAATAGCCTATCAAGAAGCCCCAGAATTCGAGCGCTAGGCTGATGGATCGAGGTCACGACAACACTTCCAGAGCTGGCAATCCTCTGAAGAACATTCATTACCATGAATGAGCTCGTGGAGTCCAGCCCAGATGTTGGTTCGTCTAAGAATAACAGTATGGGATCGTGAATAATGTCTCTGCCAATGGACACGCGGCGACGCTCTCCACCGGAAATTCCACGGTGGCCTTCGTCACCGATTATGGTCGATGCAGCGGCGCCAAGGTCGAGTTGGTTGATTAGTGCCTGTACTCGTGCACGCTTCTTTGAGGCGGAGAGCCACCGCGGTAGTCGGAATTCGGCGGCGAAGGTGAAGGTCTCCTCAACGGTGAGCATTGGAAAGAGGAGGTCGTCTTGCATCACGTAAGCGGAGATGTTTTTTTGGACTTTGGATTCCAAGGGCTCGCCGTTGAGGAAGATGCCACCGTTGCCGAGGCTAGGCTTGGCGATGCGATCAGCGAGGGCGTCGATGAGGGTGGATTTTCCGGAACCGCTACTGCCAATTATGGCCAGGATCTCTCCCTCGCGAGCCTCACCGGAGATGGAGTCGAGTATGGTGCGGCGTGGAGGGTTGGTGTCTCTGTCAGATGCGAGATGGATGCTGCGGAGGAAGTAGGGAAGATTCTTTGAGTTTGGCGACTTGATGGTGTAGGTGAGGTCGTAGAAGGCGAGAACAAAGGGAGGAGGGCGGTTGAGTTCTGTATTGAACTCAGGCTCGCCGAGGATGGGTTCTGTAATGTTGCTTCCTGAACGGAGGAGGCCGTCGTGGTCGAAATCTTGCTCGGCGATGTCAACGGTGATGGATGGTGGTGCCGGAGGAGATCTGAGGATGGGGAAGCGAAAGTTTACGGGGAGGAGAGGCATATCTGCCCTTTGTTTTCACAGCACCGTCAAGTTTGCCGCGGAGGGATGGGAGCGGTGAGTGTGGTGGTTTTTACTCGCGAAGGGGAGAAATATATACCGGGGAGGGGTAGGACGTTTATTTCTTATATGTTTTGGTAAGAAATAGTTTTCTTTCAGTGGGTAAATTTTACAAGGTTGGGTGGTAGGGGACCCATACCTCCAAACTTGCAATATAAAGATAAAAAAATTGCTTTACACATATTACATATTTCTCCATATATTGCCACCAGATGGATTCAAATTATTTGGTGGAAACTAATCATAGTGTACATCAAACATATCTCAGCATGAATTTCAAAAAGATTCAATGATTGATAGAAAATATGACATGGAGGTCTTGGACCAACCAGGGACAATTCCCATAATTATCTGGCCGATTCCTATTGGCAGAGAGAAAAATAGTTTCGACACGAACATAGCTCTACCATCCTCCCAAAATGTTGCTAATACAAATATCGCGCAGACGAATTTGCTGACATTCCTCAAGTAGGTCGCGTGAACGATAAAAACCGTTTGAACCTAAAATGATTGATCGGGATCTCTCAGTTTATCTTTTCACCACAGGATATCGTTTAATGACTCAACTATTGGGTACATAATATAATCTCACAACTTTCATTTCTATAAATAGAAGCTCATTCATGTATAAATGTTACACGATTTTACTTTTTATTACTAAGTTCTCTTTACTTTTTTATCCCTTTCATAATCTTTTTCCTGGGCATGCCTCACCGCTATTTTTTTTCTTCAACAAATAATTTTTCTAAGAATGACGAGGAGAGAATTTCTGTATTTGAATTTCGAGATCTGATCGATTAGGGGAGGCGTTTGTTTGAGCTTTTTTGGTATTTGTTCCAAATTTTGGTGGCCTCCTACATGATTGAATAATGTGTGCCCCTCAACGGGAAGGAAACTGTTGGTCACGCTTTTATTGAATTGCGACTGAGAGGTAGAGGTTGTTAGATATTATAGTTTTGTATCTTTATTGTTTTACCTTACTTAAGGGTAGTTTAGTCTTTTTACTTGTTGTATATTTATATACTCTTGTTATGAGGTAAAGCTAGGCATTGCAACCCTAGCAGTTTTCTTTGGTTGTTCCCTTCCTCTTCTCCTTCTCATTCTTAACATGGTATCAGTGCAGTTTTGATCCTTACCATTGTGTGGATCGTTCGTTTGCCCTGTCGTTCGCGCAACTCTTGTCGAGATTGCTGTTCTCTGCGTTCATTTGCCATCTCGTTCACGCGACTCTCATTGTGATTGATGTTCTCCGCGAGACGATCCCGCGCAACTCTCGATCCCGCGCAAATCTCGATCCCGCGCGACTCCCGTGATTTCACACGTCTCTCTCGATCCCGTGTGACTCTTGTTCGCGATCGCTGTGTTGGCTCCTATCGCGCCTCTCCGCTGTAGCCACCAGAGATAAACCTATTTATCGATTGTGTTCGTTTTCTGGCAAGGAGAAGTCGATAATGACCCAATTTTCAGCTTCATTTGCAGTCTCCAACGATCTATTATTATTGGTATTTGATCTTCCTTTTCCTTAAATGTTTTTGTACCGTGACAATGACCCGTGAAAAAAGATGATTCTCTTCAGTCTATTAGTGTACAATTAAATGGACAAAATTACTCTTATTGGAGTTATGTATTGAAGAATTGAAGAATTTTTATTGAAGAATTTTTTGAAAGGCAAAAGAATGTGGGTTATATTTCTGGAACATTAGTTAAGCCCATAGATGAAAAAAATGGAAAATATGAAGAAATGTTGGAAGTATGGAAAGAAAATAATTCAAAAATAATTAGTTGGATCAATAACTCGGTTTCACAATTAATCGGTGTCCAATTAACAAAATATGAAACTACCAAAGAAGTTTGGAATCATTTGAAAAGATTATATGTGCAATCAAACTTTGCAAAGTAATATCAATTAGAGATAGATATTCGCGCTCTTCAACAAAACAACATGAGCATCCAAGAATTTTATTCTGCCATGACTAATCTTTCGGACTAGTTATCTCTTACTGAATCTGCAGAATTATGAGCTTTTAAACCATGCACTGATCATAGAGAAGAATAGCGTTTGGTTCAGTTTTTTTGGTTCTTCGAGATGATTTTGAAGGACTTTGTGGAACAATTTAACATCGTAATCCTCTTCCAACAATTGACTCGGTGGTTAATAGTTATTAGCTGAAGAGATTCGTCTCAAGTCTCAATCTGAGAAAGGGAATGTCAAGAAAGGGATCCTCCCCACTCCTAATCCATCTGTTTTTGCAGCTACTCATAATACAAGCAAATCTCACAAAAATTTTGGGTTTGATGAATGTAGCTTCTATAAACAAAAGGGTCATTGGAAAGCTCAATGTCCAAAGTTGTTGAACAAATCACAGTAGTCACAACAACTCAATCAGTTGCACCCAGGAAGCTTTGAGGCTCCAACATCAAATGTTGCTGTTGTTATTCCTCCAACAAACTCTCTTGGTGTTGGACATGCATATTCTTCGGGTACTACAGTAGCCATTCTTGATGAGCAATTTCAAAAGTTTCTTGCCACACAGCCACAAGCCATGTCTGCCTCCTTAAATATAGGTTTGTCTTCTTCTAGCTCATCAGGTATATCTTCTTCCATTTGGATTCTTGACTCTATCTTGACTCTGGAGCCTTGACTCTACAGCCTCTCATCATATGTCATCTGATTTTACATCATTTGTATCCTTACATCCCACATCATCTGTATCAGTCATGACTGCCGATGGCACTCCTATGTCATTAGCAGGCATTGGGTCTATTTGCACACCACATTTATCCCTTTCAAATGTTTACTATATCCCTAATCTTACTTTGATCCTTGTTTCTGTTGGTCAATTGTGTGATTCCGGCTTCTCAGTTTTACTTTCCTCCACCTCTTGTTATGTGCAGGATTTGCAATCCAGGAGGCTGATTGGGACAGGCCGTAGGCAAGGTAGACTTCATATTATGAGCTAAGAGTTCCAGATGTTGCAACTTCTAGTGTTGACCTGTCATCATTTCATTTGAGTTCATCATCTTCTAAATTTTATCTGTGACACTCTCATCTTGGACATGTCTCTTCTTCTCGTATAAAATACTTAGTTTCTACAGGAGTTTTGGCGAGTTAAAAACTAGTGATATTTCTGATTGTTGTGGCTGTAAACTTGCTAAATTTTCTGCTTTACCCTTTCGTAAAAGTGTTTCACTTTTTGTTGCACCTTTTAACTTGGTACATTCGGATGTGTGGGGTCCATCCCCTATTGTTACCAAAGATGGATCTAGATATTATGTCTTGTTCATTGATAACTATACTCGTTATTATTGGATTTATCTTATGAAAAATCGTTCTGAATTTTTTAGTGTTTATAATATGTTTTGTGCTTTTGTTAAAACTCAACATAATGCTATTATTAAGTGTTTTCGATGTGATCTGGGAGGTGAATATACCTCTACTAAATTCTCTGAATTACTTGCATCTGATTGGACATTTCTTCAAACTTCTTGTACTGACACTCCTAACAAAATGAAGTTGCTGAAAGGAAACATCATCACATTGTTGAAACAGCTCGTTCCCTTCTTTTGTCTGCTCCGTTCCAAATGAATTTTGGGGGGAGGCTATTCTTACTGCAGTCTATATTATTAACATAAATCCACTTTCTGTTACTTCAAGTTTGTATCCCTTTGAAAAACTATATGGTCATACTCCTGATTATTCAACTTTGAGAGTTTTTGGTTCTACTTGCTTCCTCATGTACAAGGTAAGAGATTGTCTTCGCGTTCAAAAATCTGTGTATTTCTTGGTTAAGGTGACGGTCAAAAGGGGTATCGTTGTTATGATCGTGTCACTCACAAACTTTTTGTCTCATGTCATGTTGTATTTCTTGAGAATATAACATTTTACTCCATTCCTCCTTCTCATAGCCTTACGAAGTCTGATCTTATCTCAATTGATCCTTTTCATACAGATACACACATTCATCCTTATAATGTGATTCATCATCCAAATAATTTTGATATTGAGCTTTGCAGGGTTGACACTGGTAGTTCTGCAGATTTCGATGCTCCGCCTATCCCTACTGCTCCCCAAGAACGTTCTGTGATAGTGAATCCCCCTCTTTCTTGGTACCCTCAATGTGATCGTAAGTCTATTAAATTGCCAGATTTTGTTTACACCAGATTTTGTTTGCCAGATTTTGTTTACACCACTTATTCTACTTCTTTTACTTCCTTTTTAACCTCCATTCACAATTTGTCTGAGCTCTATTAAGAGGCTGTTCTTAATTTTCTTTGGCAGAAAGCTATGACAGAAGAACTCTTTGCTTTGCATTAGATAGATACTTGGGACATTATCTCTCTTCCTCTAAGAAAAGGTGCAATTGGTTCTCGTTGGGTGTATAAAATCAAAACCAAGTCTGATGGGTCAGTTGAGCAATATAAAGCTCGTTTTAAAGCTCGTTTGGCTAAGGGACTTTCTCAACAGTATGGTCTGGATTATGAAGAAACATTTGCTCCTGTTGCTAAAATGACTATTATTCGTACTCATATTGCAGTCGCATTTATTCATCAGTGGCATATCTCTCAAATAAATGTTAAAAATGCATTCTTAAATGGTGATCTTCAAGAGGAAGTTTACATAGTGCCTTCACCAGGTGTCTCTCATAATCGTGGAGAAGTTTGTAAACTAAAGAAAGCTCTCTACGGTCTTAAACAAGCTCCACGAGCTTGGTTTGAAAAGTTATCAGTTGTGATTTCATCTCTTGGTTTTCATTCTATCTCACATGATACTGCCTTATTTCTCAAGAGTACCTCTCATGGTCGTATCATACTCTCTCTATATGTTGATGACATGATTATTAATGGGGATGATGATAATGGGATTGCAGAGTTGAAATTACAATTAGCTCAACAGTTTGAGATGAAAGATTTGGGTAGTCTTCAATATTTTTTGGCGATTGAAGTAGCTCATTCTCCCAAAGGTTATCTTCTTTCTCAATCTAAGTATATTGGCACCATCCTTGAACAAGCT